TTAGTATTTTTAGTGGTATTAGCCCAATAAAAAATTTACAAGTGTGAAGACTATGAATTCTTTTTCAAAAAGAAGAGTTATATATTAATTTGTTTACTAACTGAAAAATATCTAATTTTAATATTTTCACAACCCATAGTATATATGGTTGATTTGCATACTTTTTTATTGGTAGAAGTTGATTTGCATACATGATATAAATGGCGGTGTTTATCCTATTTCGACGGTTAGTGTTTACCAACATAGATAACTTGGATAATTAAATCCATATTAATAACTAGTTTAGTTTTATTTATACCATATCTCTTCCCTCGTTACATATATCGACGAGTCTTTAAGCCTTTGTGATATGATCCTAATAATAGGGTCAATCATTGATCCAAAATTACTTGCTAAAAAAGCTATTGAGGTTGGAAAGAAGAAGAGCAGAATTTGGTTAAGTATAGAGACAATTTCAAGGTACCAAATTTGGAGGTATGGTTCTCTTAATTGGCTCAATGAAAATTGGTGTTTGATGGCTTGTTTTGAAGATAAACACTTTATCTATAAGTTGGTATGCTTGGTGGCTCATGAGAAATTCCAGAAGGTCACTTTCCAGACGTATAAAAATGCTATGAAGAATTCTGAAAACTGCCAAATTTGGCGAAGGCAGAAAAGAGTTTTGAGATACCAACTTTGAAGGCCTATAAATCGAGATTGGAACATGATCTCGAGCTGAATCAAGTTGGAGGTGAAAGAGGAAGTCTTCTTCTTCAGAGAAAAGGAATTGGTTGATTTTGAATCAACCTGGAAGACCATTTTCGAAGGGCTCAAAGATGTTATGAAGCCTGTTTTCCTAGGCAGACTTGCTTGTGTTTTAAGTCAGTTTCTTGGCTTGCAAGTTACCTTGTTTTACACGAATTATTTATCCTTTTCCTGTTCTAATTATTTTCCTTGTTCATGTAGGGTTGTATTAGGGTTTATTGTCTTTAAATACCTTTCCAATTCACGTTGTAAAGCAGAGTTGATTGAATTAAATAACAAACCGAGTGTTTGAGTTCTTGAGTTGCGTCTCGAGAGTTTACCATTGTCATTAGCTTCGAGTGGATTCCTTAGCTAATTACAAGACCCTTGTGAGGCTATTCTGAGTGGATTCCAGAATCGTTTAACAAGTTCTCTTATCAATCGATTAATCACCTCGATTGTGGCGAGAATTCTACCAATCCATCATCTATCATTCGAGTGTTCTTGACTTCATATCATAGAAAGTTATACATCTAATTTTAGCTAAACACCAATTCTATTTGTTTCAATAGTTTGTTTACCTGCTATATAAAAGTAAACAAATAAATTATCATCAATAGTATGAATTCTTACAATCTCATTGCAACGTGTAAGTCATGCAAATGGGTAAGGGAAGAGATGCGCGCATAGAAGCTGGAGATTGGAGGAAAACAAATAAAATCAGCCCAATCGGATTAATTAATTAATTGTGAAGCTCTTTCCCACTAAACTAAAGTGAAGCGGGCCTGATTCAGCTAGGCAAGTGTCTTTCCCCTGTTAGTGTTGTGGTATATGATCTACGATTGAAACTCTTCTAACAACTCGAGTTATTGGCACTAACTGGTTCTTGATATGGTATCAGAGCCTTCTATGACTCGAGAGGTCTTGTGTTCGATTCCCGGTGACCCCCATTTGTTAAGCACATGGTATTCTTGTCTTCAGACCTGTGCAAACTTCAAGCCCTTGTGAGTGGTTTTCGTTTAAGGGGGCGTGTTAGTGTTATGGTATATGATCCATGATTGAACCTCTCCCAACAACTCGCTCTGGATTAGGGGCAGGCATTGGCGGATCCAGGGGGTGGCGAACCCAGGCCCCGGCCCAGCCCTCATCTGGATTCAAAGTTAGTATAGTCCTTATGAATATTTCGATTTTAGACATTCAGTTCAATGTTATTTTATAATAATATTGTGTATAACTAGAAAAATAATTCGTATGAACATATTCAAATAACTACTCTAAATTTAGCTTATAAATTCTAGCCCCAAAGATTTTTCGTCTAAACAAAAACAACGGAACCTAAAATTTTAAAAGTCTAAAGCGTAAAAGACTAATAAAAGAAATATGAGATTTATTCCATTGAAATTTTAATAGAGCAGCTGTTGGATATAGGGGTGGACACATAATGGAAATTGATTAGATGAGAGAGACCCGGACTTGGGTAATCGCAGACGTAGGGAACTCGGAGAACACGAGAGAAGGGAGAAAACAACCGAAACGAATGAAGGAGGGCACACAGTAGGGGAGAAGGAAATCTCAGAAGGCCTAATCGTCGACTTTGCTTGGCTAGTCGCCAGCCGTTTTGTTGACGGAGATGGCATGGGGAAAGACGGGGAGAAGGTGAGGAGATGAGACTCTTGAATCAACGGCCGATATGGAGTTTTACAATGTGATGGACGAACGACATGGTCCGCATGATAGGTATTGTACACCTGCCCGTTTTCCACTCAACCCCTTATCCTTACTAACCCTTTGTTTGGCCTGACTTTTAGAAGTGTTTTTCGGTAGGGGTGGCTATTTGGACCAGGACCGGATTAAAAACCAGAAACCGGACCGTATAACCCGGACAGAGACCGGACCGGGACCGGATAGTAAACAATCCAATCCAATCTTTGGGCTTAGATTTGAGGTAAAAAACCGGATAAAGACCGGATAAGAGAGCTCAACACCCAAAACTTAAGGGTAATTTGCATAAACGGTCACAAACCTTTGCACTTAGTACAAAACTTAACCAACTCCTCACCCTTTAATGCCTTAGGCCACTCAAATCCCACAATCTCAATGTAAAATCAAGACCGAATTGGGACCGGACCGGATCAAAACCGGACCAGATCAAGACCAGACTGTATCCAATCCAATCTTCGGTCCTTATATTTTCAAAAAGACCGGACTGGACCGGATCAATTTGGGCCAATTTAACCGGACCGGACCGTATAGCCACCCCTACTTTTCGGGTTCAAAAGCTGAAGCAGGGCCAAACACCTGAAAAAGCTTGCCTTTTGAAAAGCCAAAAAGCGCTTTTGTATAACATAAAAGCAGAAGTTCCGATTTTAAAAAATACAAAATTATCCTTCAAGCACAATGAAGGCCAATCAAGTCCTTAATTACTAGAACAATAAGAATGAAACGATAGATGGTGTTTTATTCATAGAGGACGACTTTACCAATATTCTGATACTTGACTTGTAGTTTAACTTCCTTTAACTTTGGAATTTTCTATATATTGGGTGTTTCTCTTGATGATTGGATAATATCATTTTCCACCATTATTTTCAGGTTGCAACTATTCACTTGCTAAGCTAAATGCTAAAGCTAAACGCATGGATAGAAAGATCCAAATATTTTATGCTAAAAAGTAAGAAAAAGTAATTTCTATCGTTGTTGAAGCATGTGGAAGGTTTTTCTCTTTGCCCTCCTTCGAGTAAATGTAAATATTGTGCAGTTGTTATATGGAAAGAAGTAAGCACATCTCGATGTCTAAATTCAGGGCTTCAAAATTCAAAGTAATACTTCCTCCGACTAGAGAGCCTCCAGAATTTTTAAAAGATCTATTGCAGTCAAACAGTGAAGTAGCTAAGCACTTTGTGACTGTATCAGGATATATACTGGTGTCTTCTGTTTTAGCTCCATGGGTGGAAAGATTTATCACGCTTTGAGGGTGTCGGATTTATATGTTTTCTATTGGATGTCAAATTTATGATCAAATTGGCAGTCTATTTGCAATGGTAGGTTCAACCAAGAAGTTGGCTCAATTACACATTCATTAAACAGAGACAAAAGCTGGAAACCGTCACCATGCAATCAGTACAAATATAGATTTTCATAATTCTTCACATGCGCGCTATTATGTCGTCCTTACAGGATAAAAACTTCAATAATTAAATCATAAATGACGTACCTAAACTTCTAAAGACATAAAAAAAATCCTACAAAGAGCTATCTAATTCAATTACCTTCATCATAAATATCGGAAAATACAAATACGCGAAACAATAACAGAAACAAGACAAATTAGATTAACGATACCATGTATTAAAAATCATATAAATTTTTTTGCAAACAACAGCTAACTACTACATCTATCATATGAGCCTTTTGAACTCAATCCATAAATACATTATGCCTCAGTTTTCAAATGCAACGCATATGTTCATCGTAAAAGTGTAAAGCCACTTTAAGTCCTAAACTCAAATAGGAAGGACAATGCGAAAGAAAAACAAACAAGACATATAAAATACAAGTACTATTGCATACCCACAAAATAAATAAGAAAGAATATGATAAAATGACCGCAAAATAAAAGAACAAAATAAAATGCAACACCCAACGGGTGAGTAGAAAACTAGTATCAATTAGGCGCTATTTATATTATAATAATAATATACCATGCGAACACACTTTTCTATATAATTTCTGTATGTTTTTGTAAAGTGGGTTTATTAGAACGACAGATACACATGCATTTGTCATTTGTGCAAGACAAAGCAATCTTGTAAAGCTACGTGTTGCTAGGAGTGTACAATGCGTTGGGTGGATTTCAATTTCAAGTTCATCCACCTGCTTATTGATGACTCGATACAATTTTGTCAGTCATCTTCTCGTATTTTTTTCGAGTCAAGTTAGATAGATGCTGGATAGATACACTTGGATTTGGGTTAACTCACAATAGCAATTTTCCGACTAGTTATTAAGCAAGTTAACTGATATCTATATTAAAATCTTCGAAAATTAGGAAGACACTTTCTACTTTGCTTGTGGTGGATTCGTCTAGTAGAGAGCGGATCCCATGACTAAGGGGGTCCTTAGTCACTTGACTAAGCCCCTCCTAGCCATTAGATCTGGACACTTCAATCTAATGGTTAAAAAGTGGGAACGGCTATTTAATTAATGACAGGGGTAGTTTGGGTATTATGGAAAATTACAAAGTATACAAACAGGATTTACAATCAGTACAAACCATACAAACATACGAACAGTACAAACTAGAGCGACAAAACATACAAACATTACAAACGTATGAACTGTACAAACAATACAAACTAGACCGACAAACAATACAAACCATACAAAAAGTAAAAACACCCGGGTTGACTTTGGAGGCTCCATCCCTATATAGAGGGGCTCCTTCCCAAAGTCAACCCGGGTGTTTTTTAGACATACAAACAGTACGAACATAGTGGACAAAAATGACAAACTATACCGACAATCCATACGAACTGAAAAAACACCCGGGTTGACTTTGGAGGCTCCATCCCTATATAGAGGGGCTCCTTCCCAAAGTCAACCCGGGTGTTTTTTATACATAAAAAACATTACAAACATGGTTGACAAAAATGATAAACACGGTACACAAAAATAACAAAGTTTACAAACATTACAAAAAAAAAACCGGCAAACATTACAAAATAACAAAGCGTACAAACATTACAAAATAAATCGACAAACAAGACAAAGCATACTAACAGTACAAAATCTCTCTCTCTCTTGGGGGGGGGGGGATAATTATTGGAATAATGGCGCACTCTTGGGGATAGTTCTTGAAATAATGGCGCTGGGGAACTCTCCTGCCCAGTAATGCCCAGGGGAGCCACCGCCGAACAACCGGACGGAGACGGAGGCGGCGGGCGGGCTGTTAAATATTTTTTATTCATTTTATAATTAAATATAAAAAATAAACATGCAATTACTACATTGCCCTTCATTAAATTGGATTAATAGGAGCCCTTTGATTTTAATGAAGTTGAGTGGCTGAGATTCACTTAGCCATGTGACTAAGAAGACCCCCCTTAGTCACCTGATCCCAGCCCCGTCTAGTACATGTGCCATATGAAGTTTTTTATTACTCCTGCAAACTTTTATGTTTGCTATTTTAAATAAAGTATGCTTTTACAAAGAAGTAAAGGGACTAGCCACATATTCCTAAGGACCATAGCTCTTTACTTGGGCGGATTTCAATTCTTTGATAGAGATATCAAATCTTTCACTACACGATCAACCAATTGGTGTAAAAAAATTTTACGTTATTCATAATTTTGATACAATTAATGTGTTATAAGTTGCATTCCTATGTCGAACGGACATTACACAACATATATAGTAACAATAGCAGTAGTTACAAATAGGGCTGGCAGTTGTTCGATTATCGGATAAACCGAGACACGACCACCCGCTACCGCCACCTGACCGTCGTCCAGCCTCAGTTAGCCGCAGACCGACCAGTCGGTTATAGGTTTTGGCGCGGTTTAACCAGGCAGCTGAGGTGACTGCAGGAGGGCCTCGTGATACAAGAATTTTGGGGGGAAAAACGTGGTGGCGGTGATGGGAGGAGGGTTGTTGACTGATGTTGTTGCAAGTTTGGGCGATGGAGGTGGAAGAAGCTCCCCGTCAACCGAAAGATCTCTTGTCCCAAAGCAGCAACGATAGTTGCCGGGCGGCGCGGTGGGTGGAGGGAAAGCGAGATTGGAAGGAGGCGGAACAGGCGATTGGAGAGAACGGATTGGCGGTAAGGGAGGAGCTCAGGGGAGGGAGCCGGAGGAGGAGGTCGTCGCCGACGGGTTGGCCGAGATGGCGAGATGGGAGTGTGGAGGCGGCGGGGCGCAGCCGCGCAAGGGAATCGTAGCAGCTGCTGTGCTTTGTGGGAGACAGAGTGGGGCGGCTGGGCGATTGTGAGGGAGGATTGGAGATCAGGAACACGAAGGCGCTAGGGTTGGTGTGTAAAATGGATTGCAAAACGACGTCATATAGGGTCAGTCGGTTAGGGACGGTTAGCCGGTTAACCGACGTCGGTTCATCAGCTAACCGTCGCACCAATAATCAAATCCGACCACCGACCGCTGCGTGTTTTTTTGATTTCCGGTTAGCCGCTAAGCGGCAACCGAAATGACAGCCCTAATTACACATATTATTTTGTTTTTCGTTTTTAGATGTCAATGATAGTTGACTAGTATAAATAACCTATTATAATAGTACTATATCATCACAAAAATAATATAACTAATTAATTAAAAAGGATTCCCCGCGCACGTGTGGCCTACTCCTCGTGCTATGTGGCTCGCCACAGCGGCGGGTCCTTCATTATTATTATTATTATTATTATTATTATTATTTGGTATTTTGTCATTAGCTGATTGTGCATTTATTTTTATTTTTTGCTTTTTTATGTGGTATTTAGGGGTTGTTTGGAGAACAGGATTCAGGACATGGATTCACTGAATCTGTAGATTTTGTAGAAAGTTATGTTTTTTTGTTGCTTTTTGTATTGTGGTAACTAGCTTCTGAGATTTCAAATCTCTAAAATCTGTGGATATCAAATCTCTCATAATTAGAGGGATTCTATATCTTGATTCGTGAGATTTTTTCTCTCCTAATTTTTCTCTTTCTTTTATTTATTTATCACATGAAATATATTTATCAACAAAGTTTTTTATATTTCTCGAACCACTCTAATTTTTTTAATAAGGATAAACATGTTATTGAATATAAAATTAATTTTTTTATTTTACTTGAATGTTAACAATCACAGTTACCAAGCAATAAACATTTTAAAATCTGTTTTTAACAATCCGAAGAGTTAGAATCTCTAGATTGTTGAAAATCTGTAGATTTAAACTCATATTCTCCAAACGACCCCTTAGTCATTAGTTTATTGTGTATGATGTTTGTTTAATTGTTTGAAAGAAGATATGGTATGTTATATGTTTAATTGGTATTTTTTATTGGTCCCGAAGTTAACGAAAATAAATTAACGATTAATTTTTCGATTTTGTTTCATCTCGGAGTTTAAAAAAATGATATCAAAATTTTTGTTTTCAACAGTAATAACGAATTATAAAATAATTAAATCAAAATATACAAATTAGAAGCTAAATAAGTATGATTTATTGAAATAAATTGAAAAAGAGTGGTTGGAAGCTAAATTTAGCTTTTTATAGAGTTGGAGTGAAAATGAGGTTTGGGGAACCAAGGAGCCAAATTTGACTATTTGGGAAGCCAAATTTGGCTTTGTAGGTTGGAGTTAGTTTAATCTAAATGGGTATGGATAACTTATTTGTAAAACTTATTTGTAAAATTGGACTTATTTGTAAAACTTAAAAAAATAGGTATCAAAATGCATTACATAAAATTTAGGTACTAAAATGTAACTTTCCATCAATATTTTTAGGACTTACCTGCAAAATAATTTAGGTACTAAATTTGTAGAGGAATTAAGTTTACGTACCAAACTGTAATTTGCATTTAGGTATGGGCAAAAATCCAAATATATGGATTAAAAATCTAACCCCATCCAAATAAATTGATGTAAACCAAGGATTGAAATACCGTACCGGAGGTTGTACCAGAAAAGTTAGCGATATAGTATTTTATGTTAAAACCGTGGTTCAACCGTTTTATACCGCTAAATACCACCTCTAGGGTTAGCCTCCAGTAGATAGTTTTTCTGCTCGAATCGTTGGTACGGTATGGTGTTTCAATCCTTGGTATAAACACATCAAAGCTTACCAATTTACTATCTAATTGAATTACATATCTAACCCAATTAGATTGGATAGTAAAATACTCATTGTATAGGTAAAATTGTGATACTTAGTCAATGACGCTTCTCTTGTTTCTACGGATAGAAGCCCACTGTAAACATCTGAGGAAGACTTATCTTTTTTTTTTTTATGTAGAAAGATTCACGTCCTGCTTTAATTAATTGGCCATACGGCTCAGATCAACCATTACAGATTCCAAAATCACAGGAGGATAGTCCTCTGTCCATCTGAAACAATCATTCATAGCACAAGGATATATTCGGGCCCTGCAATCTCCCTCTTCCATAATTGACCTGCATACGGTTCGTTAAGTCTACTGCCCCCTGCGGCAGACTTGTGATCAGAAACTTGCTGGTCTGATCGCGTTTGAGCTAGTTCCTTTACTTTGTCCCAAGAATTCAATTACTCCAAATTGACCAATCAGAGAAAAGCAATCCGAACTGCAACCCAAATTCACTTGAAGTCAAACAGAACCCAAAATTCCCATGTCCAAGATTCCGGATACTTGATGCGAAATAATACCGAGAAGACTGCGTGCACGAACCTGGGATTGGAGTAAAAGACTGACCAAAATGAATCTGATCTTGTGAACTGGAGATAAACAGTAACTTGACAACGATCAAAATGCTGATGACGGAGCTGTTATTCTTGCCGACCAACAGAGCAGATTAGCGGCGACACTCGGGCAAACAAATCACGCTCGGACACTGCCTTTGTAACTTCACAAGGACTCGGGAAAAGAAAGGAAAAGACTATTGGGGAATTTTATTTTCTTTTAAACACATAAGCTACAACTAAAAACAATAATCAGGGAGAGTGATCAGATCGTGGTTGGGCAATGATCATAATCGTATGCCGGGCGACTGTGCACTCATGGTGGGCGGCCCAAGAAGAAAAGGAGTTTAGGGTTTTTTCGATTAGATTTTTGAATCAGGATCTGATACCATGTTGAGAAATCAGAATACGGTGAAAACTGTTGTGTTTTATTACTGAAACCATATAGGTTTATATAGAGTACAGAGACTGACTTCTATAATAACCCTAACACTAATATGGAAACTACTTAACTTGTACAACTCTGATAAGGAATATAACTCTACCCAATTACATAACAGTACTCGTAGTATAACACAATACTACTCGTACTACCCTATACTCTAATACTTGGACAGCCTGTGGAAGAGCAAGAAGCCTGGGATTATGTTCAAGCTTGATATCGAAAAGGCATTTGACAATGTTAGCTTGGATTGCCTCTTCAAAGTTCTTTCAAAGCCCGGTTTTCCTTCTAAGTGGCAAAGCTGGATTCATGGAACTATGTGCTCTCCGGTCATATCCACTCTCATAAACGGTGAAGTTGAAGGCTATTTCCAGCCGCAGAAGGGTCTCCGCCAAGGCGATCCGCATTCTCCTGGCCTCTTTTCCCTTGTTATGGATGTTTTGTCCTTTATGATGAAGAAGGTGCGGGAAGCCGGGAAAATCAAAGGATTTTGCATGAACGATAACACGGGTGCCGGGGAAGTCTCACATTTATTATTTGCCGATGACACCCTCGTCTTCTGCGATGCTTCCTGTGATCAAGTCTTAAGCATTATGGCCACGTTTGTTTGCTCCCAAGCAGTCTCGGGACTAATTAAGGATCAACCTGGACAAATCGATTATGTTTACTGTTGGCGACGTCCTGAACCCAGAATTCTTTGTGGATATTATGGGGTGTAGGTGGAGCAATGAGCCGTTCAAATATCTTGGCTACCCTCTTCGATCGAAGGTGAATGCTACCGCGACTTGGTATCCCATCATTGAGAAGTACCAATAAAGGCTCGAGGGTTGGAAGGCTAAGTTTCTTTCTTTTGGTGGCAGACTGGTTTTGAATAAATCAGTTTTGTCAAATCAGCTCATGTATTATTTCTCTCTTTTGCGAGCTCCAATGGAGGTAGTGAATAGAATCGAAAAGATCCAAAGGAGATTTGTGTGGAGTGGTACGTCTGAAAATCAAAGGATTCCCCTTGTGAGATGGGATTTGTGCAAGGTTTCGAAGGAAGACGGCGGCCTTGGCATGGTAGACATTAAGAGCTTCAATAAAGCCATGCTTTCCAAATGGCTTTGGAGCTTCGCGTCTGAGAATAACTCTTGGTGGAAGGAGCTTATAAACTCCAAGTATACTGATTCCCAATCCATTTGGCGGAGTGATCGCTGTAAAAGCGGATTCTTGGGGTCTGTTTGGGCCAATATCACTAGGGAGTATGAGACTTTCTGGAAGCATGTCCACATTGATCCAGGAGGAGGTGCTTGGGTCTCCTTCTGGAAGGATTGCTGGATCCCGAACATGACCCTTGCTAAAGCTTTCCCGCGCGTTGCCGCTGCTACTTCTTCCCCGGATGCTTGGGTCGCCGACATCGTAACCAGGACAGGTGAGACTGTACATTGGAACCTTATCTTTAATGTCAATTTGAGATGGGGGGGGGGGGGGGGGGGGGGGGGGCAGAGATGGAGAGGGTTGATTTATTTAATCTACTTTCTATCTCTACTGATCGTTGTGCCGCTTGTGGACCGAGTCGAATTGTTTGGACTTCTCGTCCAGAATCTTCCTTCTCTGTTAAGTTGATGTACAAGTCAATTGTTAGCAACCAATTCCAAGGATTAGATGGCTTCCGGCTTAGTCAGTTTGGAGAAAGCTTATCCCTTCCAAGATTTGCAGCTTTATCTGGCTGGTGGCTCACAAGAAATTGCTGACTTTGGATAACCTGCAGAGGAAGGGGTGGTCTATTACAAATAGATGTGTTTTGTGCGGCAGGTTTGAAGAGACGGTAGACCACTTGTTCGTGGATTGCGACTTTGCCAAGAAGGTTTGATTTGAGAATGCCAAATCTTGCAGTGGCATCACTCCTCCCAATAGCGACATCCTCGGCACTATTCATAGATGGAATTGCGATATCCCGGACGACGCGAATGGTTGGGTTTGCTACTGCACCCTCCATGCTACTTGGTGGCAAATATGGTTAGAACGAAATCGAAGAACTTTCCAAGACCTGTGTCTGCCTACGAACGTGATCTCAACAAGAATTTCCAGAACAGTCTTCGAGTGGCTGGCTGTCAATGGAAAAATTGATGCTAGTGGAGTTAATGGTTGAGACCTCTGCGCCAAGGCTTGCCTTTGGAGGTGTTGTGACTGTGTCTAGGAGGTCTTTGCTTCTTCCTTGGTGGGTGCTGTTTGGTTTCCCTTACCCGGAGGGTCGGCCTGCTGAGATTGTTTCCCTGTGCGTGGTGGAACTACGTTGGGATCTTGTAATTTGAGTTGTTTGTTCCTTCTCGTTGTTTTGAGCTCAGGGGTGGTCTGCTCCATCTAGTGCTCCTGTGCTTTTCTGTTTTCCTGCCCTGCGATTTGGGTTTCCGTCATGTTTCTTTGTTTTCTTGCTACATTTGCTTCATGTTTGGACTTTGGGTTTTTGGGATTAATGCTCTTGATCCCTTCCCTTTTATTTCTTTCCTCCTAATACAATCGTCACCATTATCAAAAAAAGAAAATATCACCTATCGCGGCCTCTTCTATCGATTCAACATCCACCATTAAAAATAAGTATAATTAAAAATATTAAAACAACTCATCCGTATTAATAACTCGTAGTTTTATTTATGATGTATCTCTTTGCCTGTTACATAATATCGATAAGGAGGCTTCGTTTTATTATTTCTTTTAACCAAGGGAAGCCCAAAAAGATACAGCAACGACTCAGGTACACAGCTGACTCTCCTTACAATCCGTAGTTTGTATGCAGCCGAGCTACAATGAAAGAGCACGATATACCACTACATGGAGAGCTCTGAAGAAGCTCCAAGGAGCAAAATACACGACTCTAACTAAAACGCGGAGAAAAAGACATGATACAGATAGAAAGAACCCAAAAAAAAAAACAAAGGAAAAAAGTGCCCCTCCAAGATCGCCCCATGTAGCGAATGTGAAGCTTCCTTCGACCAAGAAAGTCAATCGAAAAGGAGCATTGATTAACAGAAACCCTGGCCAGCGGGTAACGATTTACTCCGGTCCTCAACAAAACTTGTACATCTCATATCTAACACAACACTCTTCGTTCCCGTACTGAGCTCCATTTTTGCCCGGGCAATTCTCGCGCATTATTTGAGTCGCTCTCCTTAAGCAATCATCGCAGGTGTGACCATGAGCACAAGAAGTATGTACGTAGGCGACTAGAGGAACATATCTGTAGTTGGCCAAATCGCACTCTCTTATGACTCTGAGTTTTTGTAATAATGGATCCTGCGCGTTTGGGATATCTAAGTCGGTCGGACTACAAAACCACTCGCTGGAGGCACCGCACAGTGGATCGAGGGCAGCTTCAGCAGTGATGATAACACTGCCGTGGAAGCCTACGTTGATCATTGTCAGAACCAGCGACGAAATCAGCAATGTGCCCATTCGAGCATCCAAGCGACCAACCTGCATGGCCATCTCTCTCTCTCTCTCTCTCTCTCTCTCTCTCTCTCTCTCTCTCTCTCGCTATTAGCTAGCTAAGATGTGTTCTGAGTGAAGTGGGCTACCTAGCTTTATAATGTTGTGAGATGGATGAATTTTGTTGTTGCAATATTATATCTTAGTAGTTGGACAGACAGCATTCTCATCTTCATCAAAAAATAATTTGGCGAGATAATAGAAGCGTAGGCATGATGTTAGGTTATTGATCAGAATAACAGCATAGACATACGTATCTTGCACAAAACTACTTCTGTGCCGGAATTCCAATGCATCGGAATAGCAGCATTATCAATGAATTAGGTGTGTTCCCCTTATGTGCCAACTGCCATATATGAGATCATTATTAAAAATAAGTAAAATTTCCAATCAAATTAAAGAAAATTTCGGAAAATGGCAAAAAATTGACCCAGAAATCTTCGTCTCCTTCTCGTGGAGCTTCTTCACCTCCTTGCTTTTCCACCCTTGCCAAACTTTTGAAAACGACGGTTTAACTACAACATGGATTTGTGTGTATATATATATATATGCATAGGAGAGGAAAGCCACAACAATCTTGTAAACCTCGTTGATGCCTCTACCGGTTCTCAGATTACTTTGCTGCCTGTTATGAGCTAGACGATCCACTTAAGACAAAGAGTTACCGACCTATATATCTTCCCATTATTATATATGATGAGAAGCCTTTATTTGCTGCTTCTATAATCTATATAATCCGAAAGAGGAGGGAGCAACTGCCAAAGTTCACATATGTTAGTGGTGAAACTTTACATGTCACTTTTATTTCAAACAACAAAATAACTTCATTTTATCATTACATATGATAAAATGGTGAGGTTTAGATGTGCATAATGATCTATAATGCTATTGTAGAGTTCAGTCCTATAGGTGACAAGGTCGATCACCTCAATTCCTAAGGGTTTTGTTAGTGTGAGGAATCGAAGTTGCATACTATTTTTCATAAGGATCTACAATGATATTGTTTGACTTTAATTATATCAGTGACATGATGCATCATTATTTCAATAGTGGGCAAGGGTTATACATATCAATCGAAAGACAAATCTATCATCTATTGAACAGTCTACTACCACCAAAATGTAAGTTTGTTGAGTTATACATTCATCAAATAATAAATAATATGAAATATCTCTGATTCGATCATTACATATGATAATTTTGATAATTTAAATAACGTGCGTGAAATTTTTTTACTAGACAAAAAATATTAGATGCTCACAACAATTGGCCAACATATAGATGCACGAAAGGAAAAATAAATGAAAAGTTATGTACAAATTATGATGTTGAAAACAATAGGCCAATAAAAGAGCAGATGATGGTGAATATGATCTTGAAAATAGTGATGAAGATAGAACTCTTACTGTTTTTCATGATCGTTGCTTCTAGCCACACTTAAACTAAATATGGCAACCTGACAATCAAACCAATCTCAAACAATAAATATTCATAATAAATATAGAAAAAGAGAAATAATAGCCTACTCCTATTGAAAATTAACAACGACCAAAAATGTGTCACTGATTGGGCCGGCATATAACTAGTTTTATCTATAGCAATATAGATTTTTTATACCTTTGGAAATATGAGTTTATTGTTTACTTTGTTTGACTGATCCATAAAAATATGATTAGCTTACTCCACAAAAATCGGTTTTAATATCATTAAAAATAAAAATGAAACTAAATATTAATAATTAAAAGATATGATGTATCTCTTTCCCTTATTTTTTCTTTGAACCAAGGGAAGTCCAGAGATATGGAAAAACAACTAAATTACAAGACTGACTTTGATTGTACTCCATAGTTTGTAGGGCTGAAAATTTGCTTGTCCCGTCCCTGACCCTGTGTGACCCGTCCCTGAAGGGTCACGATGTATAAATGATCCGTCCCGTCCCTGTTTCCTTCTTGACCCTGTCTGACCCTCAAGAGTTGGGTCAGGTCGGGTCGGGACGGTTCGGGTCAGTGGGTCGACCCTAAATCAACACACTACCTTTATACACGTTTTGATACCCAAAATTATTTTTCTTACAATTTAGTACCTAAAATTTATTTTTTACAAATAAGTCCATAAATTTTGGTGTATAATTCAATTTTGGTAGCCATTTTTTTTATTTTTACAAGTTACTACCTAAATTTCTTAAAATTTACAAAAAGGTCCAATGTGGTGTGAGATATTTGTTGTTGCTAAGGGTCAAAACGTGACCCATCTCTAATTTGTCCCTACATGTCCCGACCCTTACAGGGTCATCAAATGACCCATCCCTAATCGGACCCTCTAGACAAACTGACATGTCCCGACCCTTAGGGACGGGATGCGTCAGGACGGGACGCGTAGGGAATCGGGATGGGTCAGTGGTTCTTCCCGGTCAAGTTTCACCCCTAGTTTGTATGCAGTAGAAGTACTATGAAAGATCATGATATGCCACAACACGGAGAGCTCTGAAGAAACTTCAAAGAGCAAAAAATACGAATCTAACTAAAATATCAGGTGTTTCAAAAATGTATGTTGACCGTTAAAGTTAATTGTTCACCTAACAGTAAACAACCTTCGTCTGTCTGACCATTGATGAAGTAACACTTAGGTGTCTTCCACTTCCGTACCACATATGATAACATTATTAAAAATATATAAGATTTCCAACTAAATTACAAAAAATTTCAAAAAAATTGACCCAGAAATTGTCGCCTCCTTCTCGTGCGTGGAGCTTCTTCTCCTCCATCCTTTTCCACCATTACTGATGATCCAAACCTATAACCTATTGACAATAAAAATTTGGCCGTTCAATCCCACCTTCTTTTCCTCCTTCTACCAATTAGAATCGATAATCGACTAGCGGTGAATTTGAGGGTCGTGGTCGGAATCACGGGGCGAGAATCAAAGCCTCTCCCAATGCCAATCTTCGGCCCCTGGCACAGGCTGGGCTGCCTCCACTACATGAATGCTCAACACTCGATCTCGTGCACAGCGAGTCGACGATGCTCCCTGCGTAGTTTGATTGTGTAGTACAAGAGATAAATCATAGGTTGTCGGGTCTTATATTTCGAAGGTCATCAAATGCACAACTACTCACACCAATCAGCATGGCACCCAAGAATTAAGTAAATAAGTAAGAAGAGTACAGTCGTTTAGGGGTTTCCGATTTATATATGTATAAAAGAAAAGATACGTTATTGTAAGAGATAGTGAACTCACCACTATCATGCAAACTAGGGTCATTCATATCATGCATCAATGGTTTGTGTATTTTAAGACTTACACTCTATCCCTTTCTCTAAAGTCTAAAGTCACTCTCAGCATGTGCATGCACTTCTTGCGATAGTGATTTAACTAGCTAACACGTACTTTCGCTTCAACTCATTGTTCCGTCCTGTACTGATACTCTCAAGCCACTATCAAATAAAAATGTTTGAGCGTTATATTATTGAGATCTGCTAAAAATTGACCTTTCCTTATTATTAGTACTAAAAAATATATAATTATATGAAAGTTGTATTTAAATTTTTCAGTGTACTCAAATAGTAAAAAAATTCATCATCCATATTAATAACTCGTTTAGTTTTATTTATACCGCATCTCTTCCCCGGCCGTTACAACATATATCGACTAGTCTTTTGAGCCTTTGTTGGCTCGAAACCTGGCTAGCGGGAACCTTTGCTCGGATCGACAACATAAACAACATAATTTCTAAGCAAATTAAGCTCAACAAAACTTTTCCTTCTCGTATCTAACACAACACTGCTCCGTCCCGTACTGAGCTCCGTCTTTGCCAATACAATTAAAACGCATCAGCCGAGTCGCTGTGGTTAAGCAGTCACCGCATTTGGGATCATGGGCATCAGCACAAGAATAATGTACGTAGGCGTCTGGTACTGTACTTGAAGAAGAATAGAACCGATCGCACGCTATCGGGGATTTCAGTTTCAAGAATATTTTTCTCTGCACGGATGGGAAGGAAGTGTTGGTAGGACTACAAAACCATTCGTGGGAGGCACTGCACAGTGGATCCAGGGCAGCTTCAGCAGAGAAGATGATCATTACATCGCCGTGGAAGCCTCCATTGATCGTTGTCAGAATTAGTGACGAAATCAGCACTGTGGCCATTCGAGCTTCCGAGCGACCAACCTGCACGCCCATCTCTTTCTCCGTCTGTCTGTCTGTCTGCACGTTTAGCTAGCTAATATGTGTTCTGAGTAAAGCGGGCTAGCTTTATAAATTAATTGGGCGATAAAATCCCAGAGTAGAAATTTTTGGATATATTGATTAGCCAACCTACAAAAACTGCCTCTTCTCTCTTTACAAACCCCGGCAAGATACCCTAAAACATAGCTAGACCTATACGTATCTTGGCTTATAAGTGCTTCATTCTGTGCCGGAATTCCAATTCATCCGAATAACAGCCTTATCACTGAATTACTATATATACGGTGATATCCAAATGCACTCTTGGCCTTGGTAATATAAACTTCAAGAACCCCCAGCCAGCCAGGGCGATAATGATAGTGCTCACTATTACCATTTTCAATATAAACTAGTGGCGATGTCACGACTTATCGCGGAGCGGAGATGGCCTATAAGTATGTATTATGTGGCTTGTTATGGTATTTTTTTAGTATTTTTAGTCTAAATTAATTTTTTGTTAGCAATTTTGTTAGTAATATTGACTTGAAAATAAAATAATCACTGAGAATATATATATGGCGGCTAACATCCAATTTTAAAATTTTTGCTAATAAATGATATTTACATAAACCAAGTAGACTCATTGATTATATGTATGGTATGGGTGGAGAATATATGAGTTTGGAAGTTTGTAGATGGGTTTGGGCAGGGTATGAATATTTACTTTCATAATCTAAATGTGTATGAGTTGGGTATGGATACCCATTTTATTCGAGGGTGTTTTAGTTACACATACAAAAATTAGATCTATTTGTATAAATTCAAAAGTTAAGGTACTAAGGGTTATGGAAGGCGAATGCAAAAATTAAACAAAGGGAATGCAGATGATGAAAAGGTTTCGACCAATTCTTTTATTTGACCGTCAATACAACAGTAAACTCTTTTCACCGAAGCAATTTATTGACAGTTGCTTATGTATTTGTCGCATATTCTGTTACATGTAGTTAGTAGAAGTTTATTTAGTACCCCGTAAATGTACTAAATGAGTTTATGAATCAATAAATTGCTTCGGTGAAAAGAGTTTACTGTTTTATTGACGGTCAAATAAAAGAATTGCTTATGTATTTTTCGCATATTCTGTTACATGTAGTTAGTAGAAGTTTGTTTAGTACCCCGTAAATGTACTAAATGAGTTTATGAATTCGATTTTGCAATATTTTAGACTCGTCTCTCTTTCATCATTTTTTTAATGTGTCACTTAATGAGCAAATATAAAATGGTTGAATCCTCTCCTACTGTTGAGTGATGCATCTTGTATGGTACAAACTCAATTTATACTTTTATGTTATGGTGGATTGGATTCATGGATTGGTTCACAATGATTGGTGGATTGAATTCATGGATTCAAGTGAAATCTAAACATTGAACCATTATGTAAAAGTAAAAAATTGTTGGTACGAAAATCTCATAAAATTTAGATATCAAAACATAATTGATCAATTATTTTACATTAAAATTAATTTTGGGTTATCAAAATATAAAATATACATTATAATGACTAAGTTGTAATTTAATTATATTTGCCGTATCAAAATATAATAGTTTAGGTATCAGTAACCTCACTTAAACTTTTTATATATTTATAAATGGCACACTCTGTAAAGATTGGTATTGTTCGTGGTATTAGCTCAATAATTAATTTGCAAGTGTGAAGATTATGAAATTTTTTCTTCTTCAAAAAAGTAGAGTTATATATGCTAATGCTCAGTATTACCATGATATTAATGGCGGTTCCAGCATTCTCATCTTTGTAATATAAATGGGACACTCTCTATATATTAGTATTTTTAGTGGTATTAGCTCAATAAAAAAGTTGCAAGTGTGAAGATTATGAAATTTTTTTCGAAAAGAAGAGTTACATATTAATTTGTTTACTAACTGATAAATCTCTAATTTTAATAACCCATAGTATATATGGTTGATTTGCATACTTTTTTTATTGGTAGAAGTTTATTTGCATAAATGATATAAATGGCGGTGTTTATCCTATTTCGACGGTTAGTGTTTACCAACATAGATAACCTGGATAGATAAATCCATATTAAATTATTAATAACTAGTTTAGTTTTATTTATACCGCATCTCTTCCCCCGTTACATATATGGACTAGTCTTTAAGCCTTTGTTCGTTGGCACGAAACCTGGCTACCGGGAACCTTAACTCGGATCGACAACATACACAACAGCATTTCTTAGTTAATTAAGTTTTTTTTTTATGAATTGGTGGGATCTTATTCATCAAAAAAGCGTTTTGCTAGCAACACCCTTACTAGCTAGGGATACTTCACCAAAACTGCAAAGTCAACAGAAAAACTACCTCTGAGACAGATTGGTACTAATCATTCCAAAAGAGACTCACTCTACCCCTCCCAAGTAGGGCTGACTATTTGGTCCCGGACTGTTTGGTTTTACCCGAAACCGGACCGTATACCCCGGACCGGGACTGGACTGGGACCGGATAGCAAACAATGCAATCTCATATTCGGGCTTAGATTTGAGGTAAAAAACGGATAAAGACCGGATAAGAGACCCCCAACACCTAAAATCAAGATAAAATTGGGACCGGACCGGATCAAGACCGAACTGTATCCAATCCAATCTTTGGTCCTTATATTCCCGAAAAGACCGGACTGGGACCGGATCAATTTGGTCCAATTTAATCGGACCGGACCGTATAGCCACCCCTACTCCCAAGCACATACACAATCTCAGCCTTGATAACAGACAACACTTCCTGAAAACCTCTAACCTTACCTCCATACATTCGACGACATCTTTCTCTCCAAACCTGACTGACACACGTTTGCAAGATAAATCTTCCTGTTTCAGCTACCTCTGTTTGCTTACCATACTTCAGCAGCAGCCATGAAACCATGTCCTTCGAAGATTGGAACCCCGGGACCTACATAAAGCCACTGAACAATTCATCAAGAAGCTGCCTAGTGAAAGAGCAGAGAACAAACAAATCTTGCCTACTCTCAATCCCTCCCCCACAAAGAACACAGTCCATCGATCCCTGAAATCCCCATTTCTGCATTTTATCCTTTGTATACTTCCTCGAGTTACCAGCCAAGTAATCAGTCGATTGCTTAGTATGATCACACCCTTCCAGAGTAATTTCCATCAGGTTACCTTCTGCTGAGAAGGTCTAATAAGATGCCAGACTCTATTAATAGAGAACCGAGGCATAGGCGAACCATCAAGCAACAAGAGACCATCTCTAATCGAAATGAAAGGAGCTATCCTACTTCTGAGCTTCAGGATTTTACACCAGTTCCAGGACCCTGAAGTGCAGGTGTAGGTCAAGAAGCATCTCCCATTCAATTTGTATTTGTTGATCCACGCCACCCACAATGACCCCTCTGTAACAATATCTGCCAAATATGCCTTGTAGCACAGGCCTGGTTCCAGCTACTCATGTCTTTAAGTTCAACAAAACTTTTCCTTCTCATATCTAACACAACACTGCTCCGTACCGTACTGAGCTCCGTCTTTGCCATAACAATGATAACGTATCAGTTCGGTAGCCCTTTTTAAGCAATCATCGCATTTGGGATCATTGGCATCAACACAATAAGAATGTACGTAGGCGTATATTACATCTTCTGAAGAAGAATGGATCGGCACGCACGCCATCGAGGGTGTTAGTTGCTCGAATATTTTTACCTGCACGTCTGGGGGAGAAGAGTCGTTCGGACTACAAAACCATTCGTGGGAGGCACCGCACAGTGGATCGAGGGCAGCTTCAGCAGAGAAGATCATTACACCGCCGTTGATCGTTGTCAGAATTAGCAACGACATCAGCAATGTGGCCATTCGAGCTTCCAAGCTACGAACCTGCACGCCCATCTCTCTCTATCTGTCTCTCTGTGTGTAGCTAGCTAATGTGTGCCCTACGTATAAAGCGGGCTAGCTAGCTTTATAATATTGTCAGATGGATGTGGTCACATTGGAATATACAAACACCGCCTCTGCTCTCTTTGCAGACCCCGGCAAGATACTTGTATAACAATGAAGTCACATTGGAACAGGCACACATCGCCTCTTCTCCCGTTGCAGACCCCCGCCGGCAAGATACCCTAAAACATCTCTCATAACAATAATGCCCAGTATTACCATGAAGTAAATGGCGGTTCCATGAAGGTCGGAGCTATTGGGTTCATCACTTGACATAGATGATTAAGATCCATTTATTGGTAGATGGGTGCAACAGGAGCAAAAAATTCTTGCATAAAACTTGGACACTCTTAGTCTCTTACAGTAGTTTCCAACATTCTTCCAATTTCCAGTCTTTCTTCGTGTCTGCCTTGAAAATAGCCTTCGTCTGATTCGTCTAAACAATTAATTAGAAAACAATGCACATGATTAAAAATTAGAACACAAAAAGTATACCATTAATTAAATAAAATCTTTTAAAAGTTGACTAACCACGTCTGCTTGGTTAGTTCCGCTTGGTGGATTAGAATTTGCACTCCTCAATGCCGCTCACGACTTATAACACTACAACAAAAAGGGTTTTTGCAACCAATATAATTGGTCCATAAAAGCTCAACATTGGTTAATACACCTTCTGTGACCAAATATATTTTGGTTGCCACATTGGTCGCTATAGATGCTTTACGAATTCCAAACGCAACCAAAAAGAGAATTGGTAACAAAAAAGAAAAGCAATCACTACCAAGTTGCTGATGGTAAAATTCTTAACTTTTCGTGACCATTTTTATTTGGTTGTCATAGTCTAATCTTTGTTGACAAATGTAAGTGATTGGTTGCCATAAATACTAATGACAACCAATTCATTTGACTTTTCATAACCAATTTCAATATTTGGATGCAAAAGAAAATTAACTAAGTGTCATAAGTGACCAATCATTTTGGTCGGGAAATTGATAATACCAACAAAGAATTTCATTATGATAACTAATTATTTTGGTTATGAATCTTTAACACAACCATAAAATTTTGTCGTGAAAAATACATACGACGACAAATAAATTATTTTCGAAGACTAATTATTTTAGTTATAAAAAGTTTAACAAAACCATAAAAGTTGGTCGTAAAAAATACATATGCCAATCAATTATATAGTTTTAAATGAGTAATTATTTTTGTTATAAGAAATTAACACAACCATAAAATTTGGTCGTGAAATATACATAAGATTAATTATTTTAGTTATAAGAAATTAACACAACCATAAATTATTTTCGAAGACTAATTATTTTAGTTATAAAAAGTTTAACACCAACCATAAAGTTTGGTTGTGAAAATATCATTTCCCAACCAATCATATATTCCGCCACTAATTTATTTTGGTTATGAAAATCTAAACAGCATTTCTTAGCATATTAAGCTCAACAAAACTTTTCCTTCTCATATCTAACACAACAATGCTCCGTACCGTACTGAGCTCCGTCTTTGCCATAACAATGATCACTTATCACTTCGGTCGCCGTTTTTAAGCAATCATCGCATTTGGAATTGGCAACATAGGCATCAGCACAAGAAGAATGTACGTAGCCGTCTGGTACGTCTCCTGAAGAAGAATAGAAGGGCTGGCAGGCCGTCGAGGGTGTCAGTTGTACCTTAATGTCTGGGTGAGCAGAGTCGTTCGGACTACAAAACCATTCGTCGGAGGCACCGCACATTGGATCGCGGGCAGAGATGATCATTACACCGCCGTTGAAGCCTCCGTTGATCGTTGTCAGAATTAGTAAGAACATCAGCACTGTGGCCATTCGAGCTTCCAAGGGACCAACCTGCACGGCCATCTCTCTCTGTCTCTGTATTAGCTAGCTAATATGCATGTGTCCTGCGTTAAAGCAGCCTAGCTAGCTTTATAATATTGCCAGATGGATGAAGTCACATTAGAACATACAAACACCGCCTCTGCTCTCGTTGCAAACCCCGGCGGCAAGATACCCTAAAACATATATCTCATAGACACATACGTACCTCACATAACTACTTCTGTGCCGGAATTCCATTTCATCCGAATAACAACATTATCAATGAATCTATAAAATTTATGAAGCAGATTCATTGGCTGTTTTTGCAGGGATTCAAAAACTCTGGCTCCTGAGAGCTTCACGGAAGGGCATATTAGACATTTCACGGTTCTGCACATTTAATTGAAGTGCTGCGTTTTTGTTTTACTGAGCCCAATTGTTTTTTTCATATATGGGCTAAACGGAATGCCTTCGGACATCATCTGGGCCTATTCTTGGATTTTTCCTTTTCCACAGAATTTGCAATTTAATCAAAATTCAAAACTCACCCCTATCTCCATCGTCTCTCCGTCGCTCACCAAACAAAGAAACCCCTTCGCCTTCCTCTTCAATATGCAATCCTTCTCACTTCGACAATCAAATCTTCTTCTACCTTCGACTCTGGCCATCAAATCGTCTCTGGCACTCACTTCATCCCAGCAGAGAGTTGTTGCAAACCAGCCGCCGTGTTATTATCCACCAATTCCTCTTGCGACTCCGACAAAAAACAAGCGACAAGCATGGGAGCAGTACTTCAGGAGCTTTAGGGATTTCGTCGGATGTTCTACCACCCCTCTGCCGCCGTGAATCGAGGGTCACTAACGCTGTCCGTTGTTTCTATCGCCCTCCTCCGCCGTGAATCGATGGTCCTGTGAATCGATAGTCACCAACCCAGCCGCTTTTTCTTCCTCTTATCGCCAGAAGAAAAAAGAACAAAGTTTATATTAAAAAAAACAGAGTATATCTTGCTCTCTCAGTCGAAGAGGATGGAGCGAAAGGAGATGGAAAGTGACCTTTTTTTAAGTTTGAGATTTAAGAGTGAAGAATATACATGCAAATTTGTATGTTGCTCATCTTGGTGGGAGTCTCGAGATGGGAAAGGACAGAGGAGATAGAGAAGAAAGAAAGTTCCAGATGGTGTTGGTGTCACTGGTGGGTGGGAGTAAACAAGCGGAGAGATAAGGGGAATTGGCTGAAAATGCAAAAGAAAAGAACTAAAATAAGTGACATGATAAGATTAATTAAAATTATTGAACATTTTCAAAAAATATTAAATTTTATTAGTTAATGATATTTCAAAAAAACTAATATGTTTTTTTAAATGTAAAAAAAACTAATATGTGTTTAGCAAAAATAATAATAAGATTAAATAATGAAAAAAATGAAGGTGACCCTCAGTTCTGTTATTAATTCGGTTTACTTAAAATATAACCTTATCGAAGTACTAATTTAAAGTTCATCTGATTAACTGACAAAATAACTGAGAACTGATTACGTGGTTTCGGTAAACCAAAAAATATAAACGGTACGGCTTACGTTAAGCAATTTTTTTTAATTAAACTGTTAAATGAAAATCGATTCAGATTATAACCGAACAAAACTGATTTTCAGTTCATGAGGCATTCCTTCGCAGTGTAATTTTGGGTATATTTTTTAATTTATTTATAATCCCCTATATAATTTTATTAGCAGCAACTGAAATTACATGAGCACAACCAAGCTCTCTTGGACCTCTGTAGATCCAACATCAAATATGTCTATAAAATTTATGATGGAGATTCATATCTCCAATTTTCTCCATTTTAAAAATGTTGTTATGTGAGTGTTTCACGGAAGGTTATTAATGACCCTTTCCCTGTCTAAATGAAACTGTGTATTCCATTTAAGGAAGCCCATAATTGGATCTACGCCAACCGGGCCTCCTATACTCTCATTTGGGCCTTTCAATAACAACTTTGAGTTATAACTCCGCGACAAGGTTTGAGCAATTTTATTTCACTTTAATTTATAATTTTAATTTTAATCTTTTATCAAATTTTACCGATTTTGGGAGGAAATCCCTTATTTTCAAAAACCGCCAGATTTCGTCATCTTCCCCTTTCAGAAAATCTACCAACAACATCTCTACTCGGACTTATCCCTACTACGTAGCATTGGGCAAGAACGCACTCACCCCGAGAAGACGATTGCATTGGAGTCCTCTACGGAATTCACTTTCTCCTCTGGCAGGTGTGCAAAATCACCCTTCCATCTTGGATGTGATTTCTTTCTTCAATACAAGAGCATTTCCTTCAGATCCTCGATTGGGTCAATATTGATAAGGACATAGTATTTATAGGTCAAACAGAGAAGACGGTTGGTGATGGCGGAGGTGGAGGCTAAAACGCAATACCAATTTGGCCAAGCTAAACCGCCTGGTAGTTAGTTTGGTAATCTTTTTGGACACACACTTGAATTCATTTATTATGGGGTTGTTTGGAGATGGGATTTGTTGTGATGTATATAACCAATCCACTAGCGAATAGAATTTGCCCTTTTATTTTTAATATGGTTTCCCATAGTCGATATTAGGTTCACTCTTTTTAGATGCAAATTGATGATTTTCAATTTTTTAATTGTTAGTAATTTTTTGCATTTTTTTCATTCTTCTTAAATGTTATGTACAAAACTTATATACTTTTTTTCTGCACTCCTCTTCACTTGATTAACTGTTGTTGCCATGCTAAACTCTCACATCCATTATTGAAGTATCATTTTGTTGGTTCTTTCGTGATGCAAGATATGGTTGCATGTGTTTTGGTGATTTAGATTAATTTTTTTTTTTAAGTACATCGATGCATGAGATAAATTTACCTTGCTTGAGTCACATCTTATATTTTACAATGACACCAAGTTAGATGCGTTTCTAATCAAAGTTGAAGTTGTTACTATTAGAGCAAGGATACCTCCCATTTTATTGAGGTTAGGTCGTCTGAACCACAATTTGATCATGGCTAAGGTGATTTTTGGATGGAAATTTGGGTATAAGGACATGTTTGATATTTTTCTAAAGTATAATGGTATGATGTAAAAAATAGTGCATGTTTGATAAAATTGCATAGTAAATGGCCATATTATACCTATAACCCAATTATATTTAATTAGATTTCAAATTCATTTCTTAAAATTTCATTAGTCAAATACTTGAGTACTTTCCTACATTATTGACGGCCAATAACCAAGCAAAATAACCAGTACAAAGGGATGGCAAAAATGTCTGTAACCGTCGATATCCGCCCGAATCCGATCGAATTGGGTAGAGTAAAACCAAAACCCGAAGGAATTTTAGTGGGCACGGGTAAAACTTGAACTCGAATATTGCGAGTAATGGGTAGGCATGATTTTCTCACTATCCAACCCGAACTCGCCTGATTACGACATGCATATGCATTTTGTCTAAAAATAATTATTAATTTTGTCTACCATATTTTATATTTAGCATATAACTATAATATTTTCATAAAATTATGTTGTTTTAATTAATTTTCTTCACCCTAATGAATTATTGTCGTACTTTTACGCTTATGTAATGTGAGAATATGAGTGAATGGTAACATATTGGTTGGAGTTATAAAGAGAAATTATTATCCATGGATGACCGTGGATACCCGAAACCCGAACGGGTATGGGCATGATTTTAATTTTTTACTCGTTTCTTATGTGGGTATGGGTAACATCCAAACTACTTTGGGTAGGATAACGGATATGCACTATCCGCCCCGACCTATTGCTATCCCTAACAAGCATCAACAACATGGTGAAAAGAAACATATATAAGTTAGTCATATGTACTCATATTTATCAAGCTTTCCCAATAAGGAAATTTACCAAACAAAATAATTACTACAAGAATCAACGACACGAGTGAAACCAACATTTTGATTTCACCTATTAGAAAAAAATGTAGGGTTGCAATCCATCCAATAATTACACAAGAAAAAAAGTAACACGACGCACCTATTAGAAAAAAAGAAAAGTTTCAATCCATCCAATACTTACACAAAAAAGAAAGAAACACACAACTACAAAATAAAATCAAGAAATACTTCAACAACAAGAACAACCCGGCCAACGGACGGGGGCCTGTGCTAGTTACTATATACTAGAATGGAAGTCCGCGCCTTCGCGCCGGGACATTTCATTGTATGTTATAATTAGGGGTATTCATTGGGGTTCGATATTTTGGGTTTACCCAAAACCGACCCAATTATCTACATTTTTTGGTTTTTTGGGTTCGGGTTCGTTTCGAGTTTTGGGTTTTTCGGTTTTGGGTTCGGTTTTGCTTATCGGTTTTTCGGGTTCCGGCTAAAAACCTCAAATAAATAGAACTCAGCCCGTATTCTTAGGCGTTCGGGTTTTCGGTTTTGCTTTAACGAACCCGAACCTGTTAAGAAATTTTCGGGTTTCGGGTAACCGGAACCCGCAAGTCCTTATCGGGTTCGAGTTCGGTTTTAGTGAGTTTCGGTTTCGGGTTTTTTCGAGTTACGGTTCGGATAACCGAACCCGACCCGAACTGACACCCCTAGTTATAATAGTATTCTTTAGACCAGAATGCATGTTTTAGAGTTTTAAACTATTCCAGGAAAAAAATCGTACCATTCAACAAATGATAATATATAATATGATCCAGTTGTAACAAAAACAATCCCGTCAGTAATAAGCATTTGAAACAACAATTGTTTATAATTAGAGCTAATGCCATTACTAGTTTAGTGACTGGCCCGTTGGCCGGTGGTATTACTGGTTTTTCATGATCTGTATGCATGTTTTCAGGTTTTAATTCATTGTTATAAGAATTGGACCAATCAATGGTTGGGTTAGTAGAATCGTCAAATCAGTTACAATAGTGGTTTGATTCACTTTCTTAGATGTTTAATCATGGATCAAATAGTTTTTCGTTGTTCAACATGAAACCAGATGAACCACCCATTTTGATTGGTCCATTTGTTCGCTATTTTAACCATAATTAAAAATACTTTAACATAAACTAAGACGATCTAAACATAATCACTAATTTTACTTATACTTCCTCTTCTCATTTCCCAACCTCATTGTCCGCTCTATGTGATCGACTACCAACTGCCGCCCTAAGTTCTAACATGAATTAAAAGACTTATGATTTCTTTTGTGAGACGGTTTGAACACTTTGTTAGATATTTTGATGATAAATAATAAGAATTTGAAATTTTTGTATGGTCAATGATAAATTCATTCTTACATTAGTGTATCACTAATATACATGTTTTATGTGCTATAGATCATGAACGGTTCAATCAAATGTTAACCACTGAATCCTAAACCACTCACTCTTTCGGATCTGCATCCGGTCCAGTTATGAAAACAAAGCTTTATGTTATAGATAATGAATAGTTCTATCAAGGGCTAGTCAATGGTTTATAAAGGTTAACCACTGAACTCTAAACCACTAATTTTTTCCGTTTAACGTTCCATCCAGTTATGAAATAGAGAATTTTATTTATAAGTCTAAATCTTTTTGATAAAAATGCCTTTTTGTGATTTCAGTTTCAAAAAGACTGACATGTCATCTATGTTGATTTTATCGAGTAAATTCATATCCAAGTTTTTAGAATAATTTGACTATAGTTATCTTATTATAGTTTGCTACCTAATTTTTAATGAAAATCAATATTTTTAATATTTTTTCTTAAATTACATAACCATATGGATTGATGTACCCCGACTCATGCTTATGATAGATTAACCGACCTTGAACTCACATGCCACGTAGTTGGTATGTCTATCAGATACCCGCTCTAGCCTAACCCATTGTCATTCCTAATCCGGTGTAATTGAACTCTTAATTTATTAATCGATTTGACTCGGATAAATAATATACAAATAGGTCCCACGTTACCCTCGCCAATTTTACCGTAATGAAGGTAACCAATTCTTTTTAAGGGCCTTTATTATGAGGTGGTTATCATCGTCCTAAACACTACAAAATGTGGCCTAAAAATATTCTTTCACTCTTTCGTACATTTTAGTTTCCCTTCATTCAACAAACACATCTACGAAGAAAAATAATAATTTAAATCCTACAAAAAAAATTAAACTATCCTAAAACACCCCTTAAATCCAAAAAAAATTCAACTATTGGTCGACATACCAAGATCAACATTCGATTCGACGCCAATTAAACTATTTTTTTTTTGCTTGAATAGGATCGAACAGAATGTTAACCTCGATATGACGGAGGGCCAAATGAAAATTCATTTTCATTATGGCCTATTGTAAACATAAGTGAACATTCTGTCTGCCCAAAAATATAGCCAATCACTTTCATCTTCTTCCATATTGTGTTTTCTTTCGTTGTTATCATTCGCTTTTCTATTTCTAGCCTCACTTATTCATTTTAGTGATAGCAATTACCCACTCATGATAATTATAGTCAAACTCAAATAGACCCATTGATAATGATTAATGGGTAGGATATGGATGAGGTATACATGGGTTTGGGTAAGGTATGAATATTACTTCCATAATCTAAAAGGATTTGGGTTGGGTAGGAATATCAATTTTCTTGAGAGTGTTTCAACTACACGTACAAAAATTGGACCTATTTGTAAAACTTGAA